ACTGTTTCCTTGCCCCATCGTCTCCCAAGATAAATACCGCTCCCCAATCGTACCGAGTGCACTCACCTAGTTTCTCCAGCGGTGTCCTTCACTTCTTCCCTGTTTTTCAGGTCCCTGTTCAGGCACCACCTGCCAGAGCCAGCCGGCCAAGAAGAACAGTACCTGAAAGGGGAAGTGAGAATGAAAGAAAAACAAGAGACAGAGAAAGATGCTTGGGAGGACCGTCAGTAGAGACTGCAGCCCGGGTTTATTTCAGCTCAGCCTTTTTATACAGCAGATCATCAGACAGCCACCGTTTGCTTAGCTCAATTAGCGTCAGCAGCTGTTTTCCCACCTTTATCTGAGGGTCAAGGAACAGTCAAATACTTGTTGTGAATTCCACCATTTAACCATCTTCCCTAAATTATCATTCTTCCTGACTTGGCAGAGCAATTCGGTACTTGTGTGCAAAACACACAAACTCTTGAGTCAAGGCGACAGTCATAAACAAACAAGCCTGCCACAGCTCAATGTACATAATGGCTGTGCTTATACTAATAGCTCCCAACAGTTTTTTTTTCTTTTTTCTTTTTGAGATGAAAGGCTTGACAGGATGCATTCTCCTATCCTTTTCTTATAGGAATGCAAGGTACTGGTCAAGAGGGGCATTGGTGGTTCAGTGGTAGAATTCTTGCCTCCTATGTGGGAGACCTGGGTTTCATTCCTGGCCAATGCATGCCTTGCTCTTTTTTTCTCTCCTTCCACACCACCATTCTTCAAAGGCAGATGCTTTACCTGCTCTGTCTTCTCCATTCTCATCTCCAGGAATACCGCCACACTGCACACACAGCTGAGGCTAATTCCGAGGTTCCAGCCCAAAGACTTTCTCCAAAGGTCACTGCAGTGCTTGCTGCGACTCTGCACATTGGGGCTTAAAACCAGTGGGTTTTTTTTTTTGTTTGTTTGTTTGTTTTTTTATTCTGACTGACATCTGCCTTCGATAGACCATTGGCCTAATTTTCACAACTCACAAAGATCCGCCTGCCTCTTCCTCCCAAGTGCTGGGATTAAAGGCTTGCGCCACCACGCCTGGCTAAATTTTGTTTCTTAATCCATTCACTTAGCCTGTGTCTTTTGACTGGAGAGTTCAGTCCATTGATATTTCAGGGTATTTTTGAAAGATGTGTATTGGTTGCCATCATTTTAATTGTTGTTTGTGTTCTCTAATTTCATGTTTTCTAGATTATACCTTTGTTTCTTTTCTTTAATTGCCCCTGGGGTATCGTTGTTTCTCTCTCTGCTCTCTGTATTGCTTCCAGTATTCTTTGAAGGGCTGATCTTGTGGACCTGTATTCTTTCAGGCTATTCATGTCATAGAAGATTTTTCTTTCCCCCTCAACTATAATAGACATTTTTGCTGGGTAAAGTATCCTGGGTTGGCATCTATTGTCATTTAGAACTGGAAATACCTTGGTCTAGGCTCTCCTGGCTTTCATAGTTTGCATTGATAAGTCAGCTGTAATTCTGATGGACTTTCCTTTGTATTTGACTTGTTTTTCTTTTGCTGCTTTCAGTATTTCCTCTTTGTTCTGTACTTGTGCTGGATAGCTTTAGTGTCAACTTGACACACCTGGGCTGAGGGACCGTCAATCGGGGAGTTGCCTCTATTGGACTGGCCTGTGGCCATGTCTGAAGGGCGTACATTTAGTGTTTTCACTATGATATGTCATGGAGAGTTTCTTTTCTGGTCCTATTTGGTGTTCTTTGTGCCTCTTGTATTTATATGGGGATGTCTTTCCTTAATTTTGGGAAATTCTCTTCTACAATCTTGTTTAAGATCTGGTCAGCACCATTAACCTGAAATTCTTCTCCTTCCTCTATTCCTATGATCCATAGATTTGGTCTTTTCATGATGTCCCACAGCTCTTGCATATTCCATCCCTGTGTTTTTTTTTTAATTTTCCATACTCTTTGCTTGAGTGGTCCAATTCTTCAACTTTATCCTCCAGTGTTGATATTCTGTTTTCCATTTCAATCATTCTAGTGGTGAAGCTTTCCCCTGTTGTTTGAAATTGGCTTATTGAGTTTTTCACTTCCTTCTTCATTTCAGCCTGAGTTTTCTTCAATATTTCTATTTCTTTTGTGAATTCATTCAGAAGTTTATCCCTATCTTCTTTT